CGGCCCACCCCAGTGAGTGGAGGGACAGGTCAGGCAGAACTGTGGGAAGCAGCACATCCAAGGCAATGATTTCACTATGAGGATTTTGTGAGAGAGCAAATAAACTGCTTATGAAGCCTCTGAAAGACTATGGCAGGCTGCTTAAAACTTGACCAAGATACAAATTTCCATTTGTCTATGCAGTTTGTTTAATGTTGTTTATGGTCCAGTGTGGAAATACGAAGATGTAAATTACAAGGTGATGGGGTGCCAGGTGAAGATATTAAATGTACCCAACCTTCTGTTCCCATTGAATCCCGTTAAGCAAAGGCTTCCTCATGCCCAGAGTTCAAAGGGAAGATGATTGCTGCTTTACAATTAACTTAGAAGGAGTCTGAGAGCAGCTGGTGGGGATGATCATGCAGTCTGTGATAGGCCAGAGAAGATTAAGGCTCACTCTAATAACAGCTCATCTCGGTTTTGTTATATTGTTTGCCCTCTTTCTCCTCTATTTTGTATTGGTTTCAGTTGTTAGGAGTCCTACCAGAATTTGATCTAATGGGAAAGTCAACTCCTTTCTGGAAAGGTAAGCAACAGTGCAACCAGAAATAGTAGATGAGCTGTGGTTTCCTGTGGTTTATGTTTTAAGCAAAAAGTCATTTGTATTTTCTGTGCTACTCTGAGCTCAGAAAAATCAGGTGTAATCTAATCTCTGTCTTAAAGTATGTGTCGTACACACTAGCAATAAAACCCCTGTCTTTAATAGATTGTTACCTTATTTATGGTAGCGTGGATAAAGCGACGGGTAAGTTCTAGAAATACTGTCCTGCAGTTCTGTGGCCTTTGCTACATGCTTCATGTTTACCTACGCAGGGGCACAGCCTTGTTGTAGAGCTTGGATGCTCTGTCTGGTGCTTTGGGGAGCATTCAGCCTGAGCAGATTGGGCAAGAATGAGGTTGATTCTAGCCCTGTCTCTAGAAAAGCCACTTAGGCAGCTTTGAGTTACTGCAAGGTGCTGTAGAGGGACTTCTTTTTTTAAACCTTAAAGCAGGTGGAAGGGAAATGCAGCTCCCTAATGAGGGTTAGGAAACAGGGCATTGCTTTAAATGGGAGTACTGAGGTTTGAAAAAATAAAGCAGGACCCTCGAACGTCTTGTTTCTATTGCTTCTGTATGGTTTCTGAGGTAACAGTCCTGCTCTTCCAATGTCCTCTGCTCATTATTCCTCTAATGAGAGCTACTTGGGAAGCTGTGCAGCCTGAAGCCCTTGCACGTGTGGGCACGCTTCCTCACAGCGCTGACTTCAGAGCCAACTGCTGACGTGGTGCGTAACGCAGAAGCAGCATCAGCAACTGCAAGGAACTGCAAGCTTTGTACGAGGTTTCTCATTTGGGGCTGGGGAAGTGAGGCAGAAGTATCTGTTGGATCAAAATGGCTTGGTTTTCTTCCTCTGAAGATATTCAGCTAGACTGCTGGGAAGCCAGAGCAGCAGTGTGGGCTCTGGCACAGACTGCAGCATAGGATGTTTCCGTGTTAGTGCTTGAAAATGTTAGTTCTGCAAACATTGCTTATTTAAAGATATTTTTGTGTGTGTGTGACTTTCCCAAAATGAACCAAATTACTTAGGGAGAGATGGCTTTGGATGTGGTTTCACTTTATCATCTGCTTTATATGCTTGTTGCTTATGGTGCTCGTATTCTCAACGACAAGAGGGGGCATCTGTGGCCTCACAAACCCATGTTGCATCATCCTAGTTTCTTGTTACTTTTGTGTGTGTGGTGTTGTTTGTTTGGTTTCCCCACTTTTCTTATTTGTTGAGATGCTACAAATACCTAAGGGGAGGGGGGAAATGATATTTCTGTTTGTTTGTTTGTTTTAGAAAACAATTTGTGGATTTGCAACCACTTGATTGATTTAATGGAAAGGTCTATAAGCAGCATAGTAGTCTTTATTCAAAACCAGTTTAAGGTTGCTGCTTATCCATATATTCCCACTGAAACACACCCACTGTATGCAAAAGTAAATGATCAGTTTAATAATGGGACTACAGTCATTTTATATGCTAAAAACATCAACAGCAGAAGGGCTATGTGTTCTTAACTAGCCTGAATGGAGGTTTCTTGTAGTAGCTCTTTTTGTTTTCCAGTGGTTGTACAATAATGTTGCCAAAACCTTTTAAGCTATACGAATATATGTATAATTAGTAGTACTTAAACGCAAAATGATTTCTGAGCACAATGGAAAACATCACCTGAGGAAAACATAATTGTAGGGACTGCTAATATTGTCTGTACTTTGTGTCATACTGGCATGTTTGCACCGGCATGTTAGCTGATAAGCCATTTAAAAGGAAGCAAGGTCAGAATTGGTGCTCCTCTACTATGGTCAGAAAAGAGTTCTTGTCTTCTGGGTTCTAATTTTTGGGCACATAGGCACTGTTCTGCTTGGCATATGGAAATGCTCCCAAATCAAGGTGGTTATCTTGGCATAGCAAGTTTGCTGAGGCATCAAGATGTACTTACAGCTAATACTGCTAATGGAAGGGCCCTCGTCAGCGCGTGGTTCTGTGGTAACCTGCACTGAGTGGCCTGAAAGGGAACTTGGCCTCTTGTTGTCTTTGAGGGTGGCAGCTGTGGAGATCAGCTTGCAAGCAGCAGCAGCCAAGGTGTTTGCACCCAAACTTGCTAATGACACTTATCGAGAGACAGTTGAAAGGATATGGTCTAGGCTTCCTGCTCTGAGAAGCATCTCTTTTTCCCCTTCCATCATCTCCATCTCTGGAGAGACCAGTTAGTGAATTTTCATAACTGCTAAATGGAGATATGGCCAATTCTTGTTTATCTGAGCACTGGATACTTTGGGTGATATAAAGAAACCTTAGGTCAGGTCTATAAGCATAAGGTTGCCTTAGGATAAATGAGAACCAATTCCATGACTAGGCTTCTAGTCTATATAGAAGTCGTTTTCTATATTTCTTGGTCTAGAGACTAAGAAATATTTATAACACTTGGTGCACAGGAGTTGAAAAAGCACAAAGTGGGTTCCAGCTGTCCTATGCAAACGCTAAAAAGCCCTTGTTGAAATAATTATGCTTACAAATACAATTAAATACATCTGAGGGAAGAGAAATGATAGTAGTCAATAAGTTTCTCTCCCTGAGCTCAACTTTTCTGTACGTAGTTCTAAACCAAGCTAAATTTCTTCACGAGATATTAAACAATTAGTAAGTTTGAACATTCATCTAGAGAATACAGATTCCTACTTGGACAGCATCTTAAATCTGTGGTAATTCTTTTTGTTGATACTGAAGATTACTGCAGACTCTTAAGTCGGTCATCTGACCATTAGATCAAGTCTTTCACGGGGAAAATGATGAAGAAATGCAAAAACAACCTGAAATAGGAAACTTGTAAATACTGCTTTTATTTAATTCTTACAATAAGGAGGCACATTTACAGTCAAAAAACCCAGTGCGGAGTTTTCATTATAACTACAATAACCTAAAATATTTTTACATGAAAACAAAAAGAAATGGTGTCCCAGCAGGAAACTAACGTAATTTGTTTTCTTTAATTTCCTCTCTATACTATTTATTACACTTAAGCAAAAAAAAAAAAAAAAAAGAAAAATCCAACTTTTCTTTTTCTGCAGTTCACCTAGCCTGACTTGTGCACTTACAATATTGCTGCTACTTGACTCCATGTTCCCCATCTCATTGGTTCCATGTTTGCCCAAGGCCAATGGGCTGACCAAGGCCAATCCAGAATGTGGTTTCTGGCGCTGAGATACAGTAAATGCAGCACTCAAAGTGTGGTGGTTGTCAGAACTCCTAGCTCAGCTCGGCCGTGTACCTGGAAGCTGCTTATTTTGGTGGGGGGGTGGTTTGAGCCACGCGAGGGGGTCACAAATGGTGCGGGTGAACGCGCCTCATGTGAGACCGAACGAACTTGCTGCTCATGGCCCTTCTGTTGCTGCTCGAGTGTTCTGGGGTTACCAAAACCGCTGGGTCATCTGCAAAGGGGGCTACTGGTTGTGTGGAAATGAGGCTGGGAGTGGAAGGAGGGCTCCAAGGATGCTAAGGAAATATTAGAAATGCTTGAAAGGAGCACACCTGAGAAAAAGGATCCTTTTCTAATTACCTCTCTATTAAATTTGACTGAGCGGGAATATGTTTTATATTCTGAAAGTGCCTGCAAAATATATAGGCTTTCACACACATGAGAAATACAACCGTAGCAGGGCTTGCAACTGAACCTTCTCCTCTGGAGAGCTCTGTGGATGCAAAGTTGGCCTAAACAGGGGAGCACGGCCGGCCGTTTGAGGGTGCCCATGTTGGGGAGGGCTGGATTGGTTGTGGGAATTTGACATCCTGTGACTTTTCTCATTTCCTAAAGCTACCTGGGCTATATTTTAATCCACTTTGGAAGTGAGCTACCTGATGTGATCCAGAATGCTGGCTCTCAGGCTTGGTCCTAAATTAGAACTAATTAATGCTGGTACCGTATAGTAAGAGCTATTTACAAAAACAAAACAGAACAAAAAAAAAAGTCAACTTGTATTTAAGTTGCTTCCCTGATGCTGCTAAAATTTGTAAACATTAAACATGTCTACAGAAAGATTTAGCTGAAAATTCCATGGCGTTTCTTTCCTTTCCTGAAAGCATATATTAATCCTGTAGAGATTTTTCTATGTATGTTATGTTTGGAAAAGTTTAATGGGAATGGTTTTGTTTAGATTCAGATACTCTGCCAAAACTTGCAATGTGTAACTTTGTGCTGATATATCAAAAATAAGATGCAAAATTGGTTCCAATCAGAACTTTCTGAACTTGCTCTCCAAACTAAATATATCAAGGACGTAGAATGAATATGGAAGATAAATCTAAGTTTAAGATTTACCAGTGACATGAATAAAAGAACATTTTACAGAATTTAGATCTTGATTATGTCTCTTTACTGCTGAAAGGAGAGGGGATATCTTTTTCCCCATGCTACATCAAAGGGAGGAAAAACATGCTGTTGATTACTTTCCTGGCACATCTTGAATTAAAATAACACAGGCTTCATTATGGCATGAGACTAATTACACAAATTATATCTGAAAGAAAAAAGTTAAATTAAGAATTGAATGGTTCTTCCATAATCAGTGGGCACGAGTGAGACCTAATGTCATTGTGTTTAAAAATGGCTTCATCCAGATCCAGCTGTCTGTTGTTGACCTTCACCTCCATGCAGCCGTTATAAAAAGCAGTCACTAATGTGGCACCCAGAGGAACATCTGCACAAAAACACATGCAATTTATTAGGCCGAGGCATGCAATGTCTCCTATGTATTTTTCAGATGAGCAAAAGGACAGGGAACACTCCATTCCCAATCCATCAGTAACGCATGGGAGAAAACAGCAATTTGGCAGGAAAAGTTTGACTTTTGTAAGTTCTTGTCCCCTTTGTTAAAGTGTTTGAGATGAAGTCAGGAAAGTTGAGAAAACTTGAGATATGAAATATGCATTAGAAGTAACTAAATGCAATTTTTTTTTCTGTAGTAATATTTCCTGTATTAACTACAGTGAACTAATACCGTGTTTCCTGGAGTCTACTGTTCTTGTCCTGACCTACAAACAGATGTTTATGGGTTTAGAGGTCACTGGAAGAACCACTTAGCTTTTGCCAGAAAACTACTCTGGATTCAAAGCTGCCAGTCCTCAGATAGGAGACCCCTGGGAGCTCCACACAATTTATTGCTTCCTTACTGATTCTTCAGCGACTTCTCTGCAGAAGACCCACTTCTGTTGCTCATTTAGTTATTGTTTAGGTTATGGCAACATCAGCTCACGGATATGCTGCCTTCCAGCAAGCAGTATATTAAGAAGCGCTCTGAGGGTACGACCAGGTTCTTGCAGGGCAAATGGAAGGTAATCCAAGTACCTTCAGCAACAAAATGTGGATGCCGAGAGGCTGACATCATCCTGTCTCCTTCAGATTTAATCATCCTGTTTCTCCTAGAAGATATCCATGATGGTCTTGGGGGGCATGACATTCTGCTTCCTTCTGATTTTAGTTTGGTATAAGCTGAGGCACTGCAGAACTAGTCCTGTACAAGTGTGCTCTTCTGCCGTTTCGCCCCTCTGTTAATACCCTAGTGCTGTAGAGCTGTGTAAGCCTCATTTAGCTGGCACTGGGTATATTGAATTAATCAACATAAATACCCTAACATGTTTCTAGTTCCAAGAAACATGTATAAAAAAGGGTAATTCTGGTCTTCATGAAATAACAACAAATTGTATTTTGAACCATAAAGTTCTTAGGGCTATAGCCCAGCACTTATCCTTTCATGTTGCTCTGTAACCCCAGAGGATTTTCTGAGGTGAACTGGGATGAATGTGCCATAGTGGCTACACATTGGGATTTCAAAATAGCTTTTCTATATTACTTTCCCCTCCCGCTCCCCCTTTGGTAATAGAGATTGTTAGGGAAGAGGTTATTCTGGGTAATGTTGTATTTTTGAGACCTCTGTGTAGCGACTGACCTCTGTGTAGCGTATCTGACGACAGATATGGAACTTTTTTGTTAATTTACAAGTCAAAGCTGCCTTGTAAAACTGCAAAGTTGAGCTTAGTTGTATGGTGCAGCAAGGGCTAATACTTGTTGCTTGTTTAATTGGAATGCATGACTTTAGCCAAGGTCTAAGCTCTTAAAGCTCAAATTACTCTCTATCTGGCAAAGTGCTAGGAAGAAGCACCTAAATATCACAAAATGGAGGAGGGCTAGGAAATGACCAAATCCTGGTTAATTAAGGTTCAATTAACCTACTGACTCGCCTCTAAGTAGACACTGATTTCATCCCTCTTTTCTACTCAACTAAACTAAAATCAATTTAAATTTAGTTTAGCAGATGTTACAAAAAGTGGATGTTTTTGCTGTCACAGTATCCTCGTTAGTGCTCTCCTCACTTCATACATTGAATTTGAACTTATCCAGTGAGCCACTTTCCAAGACGTTACATACCCATTCAAAGGCAAAAACAGGAGTTTTTTTTTTCTTGGTGCTTGAATTGCGCTATGCCTGATTACAGCTCTGTCAAGCCTTGTAGAACAAGTCAATTACTGTTTACACAGCTGGATGAAGAACACTTGAGACAGAGGCTGTGGTACCTGCACTGCTGCCCAAGATACCTTGCTTCTGCTCTGCCAGGGAAGCCCAGAGGATGGAACGACATTTCCAGCTTCCCCTGTGTGCAATACCTTGCCTAGAGACAGGCCCAGAGATTGTTCCTAAGGGATTCCTTCCCCCTCCGACTCTTCCAATGTACCCTTGTCTTCTGCAGAAGACACTGCCTGGGGCAGCGCTATGATATTATATGGATGAAATGGATGTCAAATCAAAATTGTTGGTCAAACTTCTAGGATTCCCTTAGCAATTATAATTTAAAATCCCTTTAATGGAGGATACAGAAAAGTTCTATCAGTAGTAACTTAATTTTGCATCCCTATTTTCTTTCCCACATTCAATTTTCAGGTTTGAGGATTTGAGGTTTGAAAAATCCTTATCTTTGACAATATTATTTTTCTGCATGATTCCCCTGAAGCTAAACATGCCGATTGCTTTCTGCACAAAGTAATGCTGCTTGTTTGCATCAAAAGGGGGAATCACTTGCAGGTTGTTTTAAACAGAATGTTACTTCTTGTTTCAAGTCTTTTCTGTCTCAAGAATTAACAATTGCCTGTTGTCCAATGTGTAATTGTTAAAACAAAACACTCCCTGACTCCTCCTGTGGTATTTCTGCTGCTGCATTTACTTACAGCTGCCTGGTTTCTGAGTCTTACAGAGGTGATGCAGTTCCTAACATGAGCCAGTTGGGGGCATGATAGAAATACACATTGTTCATTTCTCTACAGCTCAAAAAAACACTCTTCCCAATTATTTCTAAATTCAAACACCTGGAGGATTGCTCATGCCTTTTAAAGGGTCCAATAATGCTGCTATTGAGAAGCAGACTCCACTAAATGCTGTGACGACTACCTGAAAACTAGAAGCATTACAAACTTCCGTTTTATATAGTTGTGGGCCTTTTCTACCTTGGATAAGTCTGAGTAAGAAAAACTGTAAAAAGGAACAATTTAATGAAAAGAAAAAACAATTCACCTGGCAGGCCGCCCAAGTATGTAACAATGTTTCCCAGCATTGCTTCATGCAGGACGGACAGCTGCTCTGAGTTGCTTCTGTCTGTGTGTGAATCCACTGACAGTTCGAGTTGCTGTTTGGTTACTAGAAGTTCTACCAGCACTTTCTTAGGTGTACATAACTTCTTTGATTCCAGCCGTGCAACAGTGATGTTTCCAATGGTCACAATGATCTCCTGAATAAAGGGGAGAAAGACATCACATGTAACTTCTAACATTTAATTTGATTCCGGTGTATTTTAGTTCTAATGTATTTTAATTCGGTTCAGATGTACTTTGAATTTGGAAGTAGAAAAAAAAAAAAGGAAATATTAGATCCACATCTTTAAGACTGGTACCTTAAGTTGTAAGTTACAGAAGTTGATAGTTGCTGTATATCCATCACCTTTGAACACAAAGCCTTTCATTTACACTATTAAACCTGTAACTGAGAAAGTTTACAGTAAAAATTCTCGTGCTATGAGGCAAAATGATGTTCCTCTTAAAATCAAAAGGAGTACTGCTACAGATTCAAAAGTAAATATAAGATGCTTCTTTGGAAGAAGTCCAAAACTTAAGGACTAGTTATGAACCAAAACTAGTATGTTGTCCCTAAATTGTTATCACTCTAGTTCTGTTACATTCCCTTTCCTGCTTTGTGTGCTTGGACTGAAAGATTAATAAAAGAGATGACCTAATGAATACAAGAGTACCTAGTGCTTGGTCACTGCTGTAGCAATTGTTAATAGCGATATCTTTTCTGCATGTCACTGTATGATCCAAATACTTTGCAAAATATTAATTCAGCCTCCTATCTTGACTACAAGTAAGAGCAAATAACGCATTTTAGTTTGTTTTCAACAAACGAAGTGGCACGTTCAGTGAGGCAAAGACAGAAGAGATGCTGACATGTACGGGTTGATGCCCTGGCCTGGAGCTGCTGTGGTAAGTGCAAGGTCACCTGTGTGTCAGAAGAGTTAGAGTCCACTATGGCCAACGCAAGCGGCACTCTCTCGCTTGAAACCAAGGCCAAGAGCACACCCGTGTCTGCGGATGGGCGGAGGGTCATAGTCACGTTTATGAGCCAGTCTTCAGCACTGTCAGGATGATCTGTTTTAAAAGAAAAGATTGAAATTAATAAATCCATGTGCCAAGGAAGAATTGTTAAGACATTAAAAATTATTATTTAATGTTTGCGCTGTGGAAAAGTTAGTACTAATCTCTTCAAAAACAGTGAAATTTAGACTTCTAGTTCTTCTTAAGTTCCAATATTAAAGTGGGAGAGACGAGGATTAAAAAAAACAAACAAACAAAAAACCCATATAAATTCTGTGCTTTCCCTTGAACAGATTTTATGCTTGTTGCTTCCTCTCCCTGCCTTTTCCATTCTGCTGTGGAACAGGCACCACATTAATTACAGGTCAGTTTAAACCAGAAAAAAAATCTTTAGTTTACTCATAAATTATTGCCACCAAGCAGCAGCCTGGTAGTTCTCCTACGTCTGACATTCCATAGCGATTCCACTGTTAAAATGGGAATACACAGGTGAGTAAAACAAACATGCAGGTGGCACAAATAACTTCATCATGCTGTCTTGTGAGACTCAAAGTCAAACTGATAGAAAAGTTACTATTTAAAAGACTGTCTCTCTTATCTTTCTTGACATTGCCTTTGCTTTTTTGTTCTTGCCCTCAAATCATATCCAGTTGATTTCTGGTCAGTTCTTCTGGAAATGCTAAAATGCAAGTTGAAATTGTAATCCTACAGAAAGCCAGATGGGAGGAAGATGGGGCTGTAAGAGTTTATGGGAGGAACAGCAGTAGGTGTAGGCAGACCCTGAGATTTGCTGCAGGAGGAGGTAGAAAAGCAGAAGAGAGAGCAGTGAAGGCAGACAGCAGCCCCCACGGAGGTGTGATATCAGTGCATGAATAGGAGGAAAACTGGAGAAATTCTCATAAGAACCTCTGAAACCACTGGAAACCCAGAACGAATGGGAAAAGCTGCAGAAAGGTCTGAAACGGGCCAAGCAACTAGATGATGCTCAAGAAAGCTATTTTGGGTTTTCAGGTGTACAGAAGGGGATTCTGGCTAGAAAAATCAGTAGAGGGCAGGAGGGCAGGTTAGAAACGCCTAGGTTCAGGAAGAAATGAGATAAGACTTCTAGCTAAAGGTTTTGGGTACGTGTTTGGAAGTAGAATTGCATAAGCGGAAGTAGAATTGCATAAGCAGAAGTATCAGCAATCGTTTTCTCCATCTCTAGTTATCTTTTTCAATGAATAACACAATAGGCTTCTTAACAAACACGAGGCAGAATTATATCCTGGGAAAGCGGATGTTTAACTGTGTCCACCCTTTGCAAGTTAGGAATATGCTTCCTAACCTAGAGCCCTTCAGAAATTAAATGGATAACACCATGCATGGATAACACCAAGCAGAATCTTTGTTCAAACAAAATTCTCACAGAATTTGCTGAAACTGCCACTTGAGGCAGTGGGGCATGGCTTGGTCTGCTGATTTTTTTTCAACTAAGAGCATAAAATAAAGAAGACAGAAAAATACTTACTGTAGTTTATATGAAATTTTGCCATTCCAGTGCCAGGGTAGAAGGACCCTCTCCCCACGGTGACTAAACAGTGTTTGCTTTGTTTTTCCTGAATGACTTCCTTTACACCAGAATGTCCCTGATTCATCAGGTTCCAAGCACGAATACACCCATCTAATCGAGGGTTAATCTGTAGGAGAGTTACAGCACTGGGTATTTGTATTCAAACTTGTTCTAAAAACATTGTTAGTAAGGAAGAATTACTTTACATATCAGCTTATTACTTGGCTTAGTTATGCCAATATTTAATGAATATTTCCAATTTTTATGTTACTAGTCTGTACAAAATAGATGGCTCAGCTATAGAAAAGCTGTTCTGATCTAAATTGAAGGAAAGCTTGAACTTCAAATTTGAAGCAGTGATCACTAGCACTGTTCTTTGCTCAATGTTTCATCTTTTCTTTGTAGAAAAGTACAAAGAAAGTTCTGGAATGACCTTCCACTAAGTTAAAGGGCTATTGTATGTCTTGGTATTTTTCCTGCTTGCTTTTTTGCAGGGGGAAGAAGTTTTTTTTTTAAAAAGTGTAACTTCTACTGTTCAGGGGTTATTTTATTTTATTTGGTGGGTGCCAGTTCATTTGAGGGCACCTGGGCCACGAAGCAGATGGCTACAGCAACCTGACTGCACCAGTCAAGAACTAAGGACTGAGTGAATCAGGAGCCTTGTCTCTTTCTAAAGAGACTTTTAAAGAACCTGGTAAAAATGAAAGGTGCCTGCACAGTGATTTCCATATCTATTCAGGGCCAAGTAAAAGCCAGCACTAAACATGAATCACTAGGAAATGCTTTCCCAGAAGAAGTGGGGGTGATCTTGGGAGTCTTACAGCTGCATTAAGAAATGGGCTACAGTATCCTGAAAAACAGATTAGCCCCTAAGGATTGTGTTTCTATAACTGAAACCTAGCCAAGGACAGACCATATATTTGTTTTCAAAACAGAGGTTAATAACCTTGTCTGCATTTTCTAGATAGATTTTATGCCATTCTTTCTTTTATGACTACTAAGCAAACAACACATGAAGCCACAAATAGCAGAATATCCTTGATCAGCATTACTTCTACTTTTGAGTTACCTGTTTAATAAGACTGTTGCCCACTTTGCGTGGAAATCCTGCAATGTACACCTTAGTTTCCAAGAAACCATGTGACTGTTTAAAAAGAGTTCCTGGGCTGTTAATATTCATCACTGCTTCTTTAGCTATTTTTACACTGATGCTGTGTTCTAGTTCTTCTACTGATATCTAGAATTAAATACAAATAATTACATATATACACACACGTGCGAATAATAGAAAATTTAAAACATCAATTATATATACACCCTGTGAAGCCCACTTATTCATGTAATCATGCTTTTTAATATTCTGTTGCTGATTTTTTTTATAGTTAGAAATAAGAATAATTCCTCTATTGCCAGCTAGTGGTAGTTATCTCTCTAGCAATGTCAAACAGGTGCCATAATTTCCAAAATGTAAGGCATCCCTACACAATTCTTGGTTGAATTTAAATACAGAATTGGGTGGCATCATTTTAATCCTCTTTCAAGTTGCTTAGTTTCCCCCAACTTTATATATCAGAACAGACCTTTCCCATAAGTGTTAAATTAAAGGAAGGAGGGAGGAAAGCCGTGCTTACTATATGCCACAGTCCATCATTAATGGCTTTGCCTCCACTGGTAACTTTTGTTCCAAATTCATTCTTGAATTGAATTTCAATCTTCCCATCACGAAGAGCAAGTAAGATCCATGCCGTGTTGTCATGGGATTCTGCATATAATATAACTCCCTCTGCATCGTATGTCCGGAAATCAAATTCTGCTGAAAATCTGAATTATGAAGAAGGAATTTTTATAATCAGAAACAATACACAAGAAACTGAGAAGCGTGGTATAACCTATGAAGAGGGTAGCAAAGTTCAGAGGTGTTAATCTTGATAACTCTGTATCTGTGCAGTTATGATTTTTGCATGCTATTAGTCAAAAGCAGAATCCAATGCAAGGTTTCTTCATCTGAATTTGGGGAAAAGTCTTTGATTAAAACCTCGAATTGGGAGTTGAATGATCTCTGGTACAAGCTTTGCATGAGAGGGATATTGCTTGTCATTAGAGTAAGAAGATAGAGGTAATGTTCCTATTGCATACTGCAGAGATGCAATGTGGGGAAAAAACTACATGATCTATGATGTGTTCTAATACAATGGGAACGTGCCATCCCAGAAGAAAGATTATACAGCTCCTGTAACTGAGCAATTCATTTTGGTTACTATTGTCTTTACAGACTCCGTTATCTAATTGGAGGATTTGCTGCCTGGATGTTGGGAACTGGATGAATGTGCGTGTGTATATAATGTATGTTTGTGGGTAATATATGTATGCGTGTGTGTATAATAGTTAACATATAAAATTTATACCAAAGTTATTTATATTACAGTCCAAGCTGGAGCAGAAGAGAGGCTATAAGCATAGTAAGAAACGGTCCTTGTCTTTTGGAACTTTTGGTCTAGCTAAAATAGCCTACGGATACAAGCATACAGAAAGCAAGACTTGCTGAAGTTGACAAAGCAGATGGGTAAACGAGACGCTCAGTCGCTTTTGCTCCCAGGCTGGTTGTCTGTCCACTAGATGTCGCTGTCTTTCACGTTCTGTGTTTACACAGACACTATTAACTTCAAAAAATTATCGTCTCAGAAATCTCCTCCAGGACAGCATTCGTATCAGGTCAACTCAGATTCAGACCAGAGGAGAAAGTTATCAATTTTTATGCCCTTAGGAAGGTTCTGAGGCTCTGGGGATCAAGAGCTGCTCCCGTTGTTCCCCTGGAGTTGCTTGTTCCCCCACGGAGTTGCACAGATCACTGACATTTCAGCTGTCACTGTGAGGAAGCTCAAGAGCAATAGAGAGGTTGCTGCCATGAGCAGTTGTTATGACAGCTGGAAAGGGAATCCTGCAGACACAGTACTGTGCTTTATCTGTTTCCTTGGAAAGGTATTTGAAGGAAAGAACAGAGAGGGATGGGCACTTGGCTTTGTTTCAGCTTTGGTCCAGCTTCTGTCCAAAGCAGCAACATACAAAGTTAGGCCATTCCCATATGCATCAGCAAGCTGCAAACTCATTTTTTCTATAACAGACTCTTATGATGAAAATTCTAAATATCTTCCTGTATCTGTACTAATATCTCATCCTCCCCAGCTCTTTACTTCAAAGGAAGAGTAGCATGAAGTACATGAAGAAGCACCAGTCTGTTCTCTGCACATCAATGAGACCTTTATATAATCCAGATTATATTTAGTGCCATCAATGATCTTCCTTTTTGTGTACATTCACACCTGGATCTCTTTGACTTCTCCTTCTCACAATCCACATAACTCTCCTTCCAACAGCATCAGTCATGCTGCAATGGTTAGATGCCATCAACATCAATGTGATCATGTGCAAATGGCAGCAGAGCATGTGTGCCCTAGTTGAGTGCTGTGGCCTTGCTGTGGTACATCTGCTACGGCCTCCTACCTGCTCCTGAGGTACCTAGAGGGAACCTTTCACTTTTACAATGCAAGAAAACTGCCGTCTGTTTATACTAATGAGCTGGCTCAAGGACAGGGTACGATCAATAAGAGCTGCTGTAAACTGCCTCCAGACTCATTACTCTTGTCTGCCCTCTTTGAGGTGACGCCAGCCTCCTGTAAGTGCTGGTACATGCAGGAACTTCGGTTAATTCATTCTCCATACGCAGGTAGCTTAACCGCTGGGGAGGTGGCGGGGTGATTTATGCATGCAGAGCACTCGGTCTGCACTCTGAGAGAATTAATGGAAACAAATGTCTCTAACTTCCATCCATACTTTTATCAATAGCAAATGCTTACCTGGTGACATTTGGCAATTTAAACTTTAAGTACAGAACAGGAATCCCTATAAATTGTTCTGCCAGGTAAAGCAGTTCATAATTCTTTTCAAGGTTCAGCGGGATACATACTGGAACAGGCTGAAAATATTGGAGAAGAAAAAAACAGTCAACTGTGCCCTGTGGTATTTCATGAAACAACTTCTGTTCTCTGCTAGTAGTCTGTCCTTCTAAAGCAATGTTTTTTGGGGGGGTGAGGGAGATAGGGCAGTCTTTTCATTTATTTATTTATTTTTAATATGAATATCTAAGTGTAAATGAAGTGATTTGGGAAATTTTGTAGGGCAGAAGTTGGTATGTCCACATATCTAAGTTGTTCAATGATAATTCAGGGTGAAACATAGTTCTGTCTGATTCCATCTAGTATTTACATATTTAGTATTGGAATCATGCCACTAGAACCTCCAATCTTTCATGAGGCCATTTTCTTTCCTCGGGAGCCTATGACACCTTCTGCTAGGGTGCTGCAAGGTGGTGTTATTTGTGTGGCATGTAGAGCCAGTCAGCTGTCAGAAGGAAATGGGGCCAGGGCAAATTTAAATAAAGTAAGAAATAACCTTTCCTGGTTCAATAGTGATAACAATTATTCATAGTTGAACAGTCTGCACTACTATTAGAATTGTTACGTGGAATACAAAGTAGCAATTACAAGTGGATTTAGTGGTAAATTAATAGAAAATATTTCAGTCTGGCTGTTCCTTGTGTGCCCTTCTTATGTGAACTGTGGAAAGGGATGTTGATGCAAACAGCAGTATGCTTCTTGTTGGAATAACACTGAGCTCACACTTCTGCAAACTGTTAGTAAACAGATGAAGCTCTTCATGTACATTCTCGAGAACACTGTAAAGGACAGGTTCTAAGGATTTGGGGCAACTTAAAGTCCTCCACCAGTACATAAATCTGGGATTCATTCTAGTGTTCTAATTAAAGTCTGATGTGAGTAAGAACAGTCCGCCAGCTGCAGCTTGAATTAGAAGAAATTTTGGCACTTCTATTGTTTTAGGTATTAAGCACCTGAAGTTTTAAACAGCTTCTGTATTTCAGCACTGAATGTGGTGGACACAGTGAATGTGTATTTTATATGTGGTGGGCAATGTTTTTTAAGGCAAGAGGTAAAGGCAAGAGGTAAAAAGGCTCTTGCAGAAGATGGTTCAGAGTACACGTCTCAGTGTCTACTGGTAGGTGTCTAAGAGCCTTTCTAATTTAAAGTTATCCCTGTAAATCTTTCATATCATGGCAGTATCACAGTTCTACAGAAGGATAACAAGAATGGGCATTATTTTCCAAACATGTTAGATTTCTGCTAGTCTTTTAAGCTGTGAATGGTTTACATTTGCAAACTCTGACTTGAATATTCATGATGCAGCAATTTCATTAAATATACAGGGTTGCATATATATTTTCAGCTGCTGAAACTATTTTTCTTTCCAAATAAAAGGCGTCAAACTACCTTCCACATACATGCTTACTCACTTGTGAAACAGCACTACTACAAGATAGTATGTAAGAGGCTAGAAGAGGCTCTTCCTACTCCATGAATAAGCAGCAGCAAATACATTGACTCTCCCAATAATGTTCAGATATTAAATACTAGAAAATGAAAAGAATCTAATATATTCTAGTGTAGTGCCAGACATTGTTCCTACAGTTCAAGCCTAATTTTATTATACTTAAGAGGTGTGTGTGGGGTTTCTTTGTTTTGTTTTTGTTTGTTGGAAGTTATCTGAACTCATCTCACACAACAAGTTTCAGCCTGCCGGAACCTTTCATAGTATACAGAGAGCCACTCACAAAAAAAAATCCTTTCACTGGGATTCTCTGGAGTTCCAAATTTTCTGCCACTAAAAAGTGCAGTGCTCAAACTGAGTAAGAAGAGCGAAACCTTTTGTGCAGCCTAAGGAAACCTGGCAATATACGGACAAATAGAGTATTCTGGGTCTGAGTAAGCTGAACAGGAATTACTACTTCGGTAAGAAAAAGCTGGGGCTTTTATTCTGGAAGCAGCAAGGGAATAAAAGACTGGCCAAGGCAGGCATCTCCTGACAGGATTCCTGTAAGTGAGCACGCATAAACTGAGTGGCATCCAAATCCCTACTGGGTTTGCTTCATGAGCCAAACCACAGCTTACAGTCCCAAGTACTTTCTCAGCAATTTTGAATCAGTTCTCAAATAGTTTTCTGTATTCCCTACTCTAAGGCACCCTGTCATAAAGAAAGACATTCCCAACTTTGTAGTTTTCCCTATGGAATTTTACACAGTGCAGTTTTACCTCACAATTCTTCATGTCCTTAGAAAGCTTGAAGCCTTTCTTGCCATCACAATAGCAGCTATAACTTCCCGGAGAGTTAACACAAAGTTGGGCACAAGTATTTTCAGCACATTCATCAATATCTAGGAGGAATGGAAATGCAGGGAAGGAGATTTATCCAGAGAATTCACAGTAGAGACTAAAACCAAAAACATTAAATTAATGCAGCAATTGACAAGATATGTTTTCCTGTATAAGATGAATCTAGTAGGGGACTGTTGCTAAGCTAACTAATGCTAATGCATATCCCCTATTTAAGTTTACAATCTAGAATTACATTCTGGATGTATACCCCAGTAATCAGATAGACACCTTGTGTGCAGATCTGGAGAAAATTGGTATGATTTGTGAGACAGTAGAAAGCTGAGCCGGAAGGTAGTGAATTAGTAAAAGAAACGTCCATAAATCACTACCATTTATGGCAGAAATGATATCCGGGACAGATCTCTTCCTTTCCCTGCAGATGTCACGCAAAGTTAGAGTATTAAGAGTATATTTGGCAAGCAGCTGTAGAAGGAACAGGCTTTATTCACATAAGGCTAAAATGATCTCCGAGAGCAAAATATACTCTAAAATGACATACAATAATCTTAAAAAACTAAGTTTCAGGCAGCTTCTATCTGTGAAGATAGCTGTTGCTGAGTAACAGCTAGTTGTTGAGTAACAGCAAAACATGTTTGTGAATACAGTAAACCATTTAATATTTTGTAGGCTGTATACAATAATTTAGAAGTGAAAGGTTGTGTAAAAAACTAATGCAGCTGTTAAACTTACTATAAAGAAACAAATAAAACCTCTTCTGGATAAGGAACTCTAATCACAGTGATCTTGGGCCTCAGATTAAAGAAAAAGTGTTTGCTTTGAAACGAATGGCCCTTCTAGTGGGAATAAATGATTTTGCACTGATGCCTGCATTCTAAAAATCTGTTTTATATATGGTAAGTTTGATTAAGATTAAAATACTTTTTTGTTTCTTTGAAAAAAAGACGAGAAACCTTGCTGGAGAAAGTGCTGCTTTGAGTGAGTAGGCATAATCTCCTTCCAAAATAGGATACTATATTTTGGAGATTGTGAATTCAGTTCTAATTCCTATCTCTGCAGTCAATGATCATGAACAAATCACTTAAGCTCTGCATGTTAGCAGCTTTTATGCTATTTAATTTGGTAAGGTCTACCTCATTCACAGCTTCCGGGTTGAGGAAACTAGCCTCATGTTTAGATGAAAAGTTCCCTATTATTAAAATGTCCTCTTTGTCTTTTCCATAAATCATTAATGCAACGGGTCTGTGTTCCAGCTTTCCTTCCCTCCTGCATGACTATAATCAGATTAAAAACGCTGCACCGTTGCTTGCTGTGGTAAATGCAGCCAGAACTCCCAGGTTCTGCTCCAGGTCCAGCTACGCGCTATGTTGGCTGCGTGGCTGCGTTAAGCTGTGAGCTTCAGGGTTCAAACGCAGCCTTCCCATGGCCTCCATGTAAGTCCCACCTCTTTCTGCCCACCTCACTTGCTACCCTCTGATCACAGCAAGTTGCATTTCCCTTTATGCTGGTCTTACTGTACCAAACATCTGTGTTCACTCTTCCTCGGCTGTTCCTTCTTCTCCGTAATGACAGCCTACCTCTGCTCTACCAAGCTGAGGATGATTTCTGATCCTGCAGCAGGCTGGTGGGGCGTAACGGAGTGTTTGGGATATAGCATTTCTCCTTCTGGAAAGAGTTCCAATGCAGTTTTGAACTAGCTTAGCAAGGCTGGGTATTTGTGGGATTGCACTGCTTGGTAAAAGGATGTCAGGTCTCAAGCACTCTGCTGTGGAAAATTGCTGTTAAATCTCTATGTCCAAACTGTGCAGAACTCAGCGTGGCATTTTCTAGTTCCACAGCCAATTCCGTCACCTTCCTGGTTGCTATGCTATGATGCTATGATGCTATTTTGCTAGCAGAGAGTTCTCCTTCCTGCAAGGGGTGTAGCAGGAGCAGTGACAAGGTTCTCCCTGGGAGTTCCCTGCACGTGGTTACAGTAGCCTTAAAAACAGTGAACAGAGCAGACCAAGTGTTCTGCCAGCTGTTTCATAGCCTGTTCTAAGAGAATTCTCTGAGATGTTTGGTTATAAAGACAAGCAGAGACCTCTAAGACTCGACCAGTAAGTACTGCCTGGCATGTTTACCTGTTCCAAGGGAAAGTTTGATACAAACTGGAAGAGATTTCCTGGGAAATGTATGGAAAATTAGTGATGGTAGCTTTTGGCTTGTGTTGGATTCTATCTATCTTGGATAGATGGTTGCAGAAAAGATGACATGAGAGACTCCTGCTTCTCTCCATTCCTTCCAAAGTGCATCCAAAATTTTAGCTAACAGAGTAAAAGAAATTGCTCATGCAGAAGTACAGAAGTATAAATGTTTCTTCACAGTGATTTGATACAATGTTTTGCAGATTGTTTTTTGCTGTTCTATAATAATAACTTGAATGAGTTTTAAAAAATAAAGATACCAATTAAGTTGTATCTGAAATCACATATTCTCTTCAGTGGACAGTATTGGTCAGTGTTACAAGTTTTATCTTTGCTCAGATTTCAGAAAGCTTCCCTATTAAAATGGTACATACTCTGCAAGTATATATACATGTATACTTGTACAGACTCCTGCAGGTATAAATTAACAACCCCCTGCTGATGGCTTGATTGCTATTTCATTCATTTTGGCCTTTGCCACCTGCAGTACTTGCAGAAATAAGACACTGAGGCAGGCTGCTATATTTAAGTGCTTATTTCAGCAGCTTGTCCCAAGTTCTTCCTGTATGCCTGGGATATGATGCTCACCAGTTAGTCTGGCAGCAGCGTTTCTGTCTGCTAGGACAAATTTTGCTGATGCACATTTGTAACTCATTGACCCCTCTATTTCCTCCTTTTGTGCTTAGATGACCTCCTTCTTGTTTGGCAAATGTGCTCTTTTCAATTTAGTAATCGTCAAAGTGTTTATGGTCGCGGTGGGTTGCCTAACCCGATACAGATTGCAAGCTCAGCTTGGTGAAAGAGATTCTGCTGTGAAAGACACTTTGTAATAAATTCTGCTGACTGGCAATCTGATGTTCATTTAAAATTAAGACAGGCTACAAACATTGTTACAATGTCATCAGCAGCTTTCTGTGTGTGTGTGTGTGTGTGTGTGTGGTTTTCATTTTATTTTCATATACTATCGAACTTGCTAGTGAGGCATTGCTAAATTCCAAAATGTAGCCTGCCCATGTTATGTTATGAGTGAGAAGAATTCTTACTCTGCCTGTTTTGGGAAAAATATCTTTCATTTCCATTACAATCATTTTGGGATCTGAAAATCCATTTTTTGTTTCTGAGGAAACAAAAGGCCATAGCCTATCTCACTGTGCTGTGGAAGGAAACATCCCACTCAAAACCTCTTGAGAGGAACAGCAGCAGAGAGGCTCTGACCGGGAGCAAGACCGTGAACTGGAGCATTTATTCACCAGGGGTAAAATGGTACTACAGCACCTTTTATGCCTAGGCCCAGTCCAGGAGTATGATCTCTTAGGAGGCCCTGTTCTCTGTGAAAGATCCTGTACCCCTTTCAGTGCACTAGCACATAGCAGTAGAAAATCAAAACTGTAAGCACAGGATAATCAGCAGCACTAATGTAAATCTATGTACTGAGTTCTCTGAAAGAGAATTATTATTTCAAGCACATTCCTTGGGCGCGGAGCCTGTAGATAAACAGAGGCTTATGAAGGTGTTACGAAAGCTTATCACACACTGCCTGGCAGATGAGTTGCTATCATTAAGCCAAATACTCACAGACTTGTGTCAGGCCGGAGTGTCCCTCTCCATTACTAATACCGACCTCCTACTCAAAAGTAAGGTCTCCCTCCGGTGGGCACTGCAGAATCAGAGGGACAGGCAAGCTTCCAGCACAGCTATGAAAGTCTCGTTTCGTGGTACGTGTCCTGGAGCCACCAGCCAGTCCAAAAGGCAGGATCTCACTGTGTGCAGCTAATTGTGCTGCCACGAAAATGCTGACTGGCACAGGGAGGTGGGGAGCAGGTTTTTTGGAGTTGTGTTAGTCACATGTGCTAGAATTATCCTGCTGTTCTTTCAAGATGTGCTCAACATCGTTGCATTGTGCTGTTTTACAGATCTCTCCAAATGCCAGTTCCACAACACAAAACGTCCAGGAGAAGCTCCTCCTATAAACCTGTGATCCTGAGCAGCGTGCTGGGTTCATGCAGCTGCTTTCAGTGGTAGACTAAAATAATTTGCTTCTTGCAGTTACAAGGATAAGGTAAAATAAGCCACAAAGGAACTGCCCATGGCACCCTAGAAGGGGGCTGCTCCATATAACGCTAGGGGAAAACAGTGATTTCCCCGGAGCGTGGATATGGATAAGCAGGGTTTTACTTATATTAAATGTGCATGTGGGAAGGACAAAGGCTGGCTGAATTTTCAAACCATGCGCTAGCGTGGATTAATACCTGAAATACAGGCACACTGTGTGCTGTTTGACTTGTTCATCCACTTTTCCTTTTTTTCTTTTTTTTTTTTTTTTTTAGGAAAAAAATCCCCTTTTAGAGAAGGAAGATGGGCATGGGGTAAAGATATGCAAAATATTTAGGTTGTTCCTTAAAACACAGGTTCATCTTGGTTTGCCTCCAAGATGAAGGAGGCCCTTCTGGCAAAATAAATATATCGCTCATTCCCACTCCTCCTTTTTTAGGTAGCTTGAAATTGAAAAGAAGGTCACAATAAGATAAACAGATTCTGGATCTGAACTGATATGATTTCTGTGAAAGAAACAGTGGATTGTACAGGTATCTTTGCTCCATGGTGGCTCCCACAAGGGGGGGATGAGGAACTAATGTAGCAACCTTCTCCTAAGAAGTGGTGAAAAAATATTTTCTATTCCTCTCTATTGCATCTGCTGTCGTGAACACAGGTGTGCACAAAGGTACATTAACTTGATTTTTCTAGTAAGAGTGATGGAATTTGGCCACCTACATGCAACACGACAATGAAAAGCTAATTCCTGTCTGTCTGCACAATCCTGTCCTTAGACAGGATTTGGTGACTCACTTAACGTGGTTATAACCAGGTCTGAAAGCTTAGCAGCATTATCTTCCTTCTAGAAGGTAAGACTTTATTGCTTTCAAAGTCTGCATCTGGCAACCTTCTGGGATTCCAATTTCAGAAGAAAAGTAATACTTGATTTGATGCAACCCATATATCAGCAGGGAATAGTGAGAGAGGAGGAAAATAATTTATTGTAAGTCTGTTTCATTCCACTGCATTTAAAAGGGACACAAAATTCGGCCAGTGACAATTTCAGTAATTGGATATTGTAACTGGACAAAGAACAGCAGATGTCTGAACAGATAATCTTTATCACTGTATGAAGTTTTGTCACCAGAAAACTGAATGGAAAGACATGGGCCAGAGGATTCATAACTAGTAAGATGCTACTTTTGAGTCTTTTTGAGCAGTAATATAAAGGTAGTATTTTAATTATAACTCAGTCACTGATATATTTTTCTTACACTGGGGAAATAAAAAACTTCCTTCCATGTCAAAGCTCAAAGAGCTCATACGTCTATTCTCCAACTGAAATTGAATTTCTGAAGTATGTATTAAACATACACAATGTTTAATTGGTGGCGAAAATTAAAATCTACTGTAGGACAATTCTGCAAATACTTCAAAAATATATTTTATAATGGTCTCTGTGAGAATGGCTTCTTACCACTTTACCACTAGCTATTAGTATTTCTCAACTTTACTATAATTGCTACAAAACTTTATCTTGAGGTTCCTTCTTCCAGACTGTCACTTCAGAAAATAATATTCTTGAGGAAAGACTCTTTTGCTGCTGCTTCTTCTTTCATAGTATTTTTCTAGATATGGAAAAATGGTTTTCATTTTAAATATCGGGTTCTTGTAACAACTTTTTCATATGACTTTTGTGCTCTTACTCCCAGCCTGGAAGGGAGGTTAGTTCATTCTAAAGATATTATTTTTGCTAATGTAACTGGATATCCCAAGGAAGATAGGTGCTTGAATGTCATTTAAAAAGAAATTTATTAACCCTCATGAAAAGTTATTTCAGGTATTTGAAACATAAGGACCTACAAAAGACAGAAAAATGGAGCCCCCCCTTTGGCCATATGGCGTAAATAAGCACCTAAAGAGCCTATCAATCAGATGGGTAAGGTAAAGCTTTTCAGTTTTTTTCCAAGACAAATAGGTTAAGCTTGGCTTTCATTTCTTGATGGTTTTGTCTTTCTAAGTCTTCCTAGCTGTGTTACCTGATTTGGAATTGGAGAATAACCACTACTGCTTGCTATTACCAGAACCTCGCTTGAGTTAGGGACTTATATCAGTGTTCAACATCAAATATCCCATCCTTAACGGGTGTAACAACGCTTGCAACAGGATACCAGACACTCTAGCAGTGTTCAGATCCCCAACACATAGCTACAGATTATCTGGAAGAAACATGCTAGCTGGTCTGAGCCATAGTCATGCAAGAGATCTGCAAGGATGGTGAGTCTTCTCTAGTGCCAGACAGGAACACTCCCATGAACTGAGAAAGCATCTGTCATACAGCAGGACACGGGGGAGTCCACCTTAACCCTCCAAGATCTATGAGTAGGTCATGGCAACTCTATGTATACTACAGCTTGATCGACCTCTTAAAAGAAGCAACACTTGAGTCATATTGCAATAGACAATGTGAAGATTAATAAACTACACCTCCACAAGAGGTGTTGGAGTTTGCTGCAGCAGTGGATTAAAAAAATAGAAAGCACCATCAACGAAGAGACATACCTTCACAGTTCTTGGAAGTTGAGTTATATGTGTAGCCTTCTGCACATTCACATTCATATTTCCCCTGGGTATTCTTACAGATGGCTGTCCCACAGATGTTTGGACGTAGCGTGCATTCATTTATATCTAGAAATGCAAACAAGTTATTAAAAATAAGTTGCTGTCTTGCAAAACTCTTTATCCTGACCCCAATCCAAGATCATGAGAACTCAGGCAGGGAACGGGGGAGCATGAAGAACGCTGCCAAATGACAGCTTTTTTTGCTAAGTTTAACATGCTTACAAATTTAACAGAATTTACTACAACAGTAAAGAATTCCAAAGGACTCCAAAGGCATTTTAGTTTCCTCGCACCAAAAAGGGAATTCTCTGCCTTGCCCACCTTTTGCATTATCTTGTGTGTTTTGTGGATAACAGGAAAACATGCATGTCTAAGGAGTCTACTGATTTCCTATAAACTAAGCCAGATTTCATAATAAAATCCTATCTTGGAGAGAAAAAAAAAGATAACCATAAACACAATTATAATCCTATCAGAGATTCCCACATGCTATGATAAATTCATCTCACAATCTTCTTTAATTGGCTCTGTTGACAGGTATTCAAGTTTCTCACTGTCCCCTTCATCACTCAAATCATTTTAGTATCTATCTTCTGTGTTTCTTTCCAATATTTCAGTGTCATTTTCAAAATGTAGATTCTACAACTGGATGCAGCATATTTTACTACAAGTCTTGTAGACAGAAGAGTATCAGTTTCTGGATAATGCTTCAATTGCCACTTGTACTTGCAAGGACCACTTTTCACTTTCTCCATGGTTTTGTGGTGACTCTGGAAACAGCACTGCACTGGGAGTAGAGGTGCTGCTACTTGCTTGCTTGGATACACAAAACCTATTTTGGAATCAAAGCTGTCTACTTTTCTACCATCTGGGTGTGCATCACAGATTCCTGGGTGCATAATTTCATGCTTGAATATAATCCAGTTTATCAAATGAAGTAAAGAATGCTTTGGCTGCTTAGTCTTCTCTCTAACTTAACCAATTTTCCAGTCTTTGAATGATCAGTACTCACATTTTTGCTTACATCACTAGTGAAAATGGTAAACACATTTGGTCTTACCATTAATTTTTGTAAAGCTCCACTAGAAATATTCTCATTAAATACTCACCTCACTGGGAAATATTTTTTGAGATCTCTCAGTTAGCTGGTTCTTCTTACAAATTAGGATATATAGTAGTTCATTTCTTCTTTTTTTTTTTTTTAAGCAGAATCTTTCTAAGATTTGCTGAGATGCTACCCAACTTATCTCTCTGTCCTTTTTGACATAACAGTAATCTTCCATGTTGGAATTTCTCTGGAGACTATTCATTCACAAAAATATATCCACAAAAAGAGGTGACAGTGAATGATATTCCCAACATCTAGATTTTAGTAATTTGTTGGTATAGTTCCCCA